GTATATAAGTTACTGATTTCGTAATTTTAATATTAATTAACAAATGATTAGTAAACTGTGTAAATTTCTCAAAATATAAATCTATGTGCAGTATGTAACGTATGTGTGCTGCTAGCAATGAACTTGAGCCCAAAAGAATCAATTCACTGGTCATTTTCTCAGCCCAGTTAGTTCATTTTATTGGGCTTTCATTGTTAGACCCACCTAACAGCCTTAGAAATGTCACTCAAAATACATGTCCAGTAAACGGGATCTACTTTTTGTGAAATTACAAGTCCCCTCCTCCCACAATCATTATGATATTCAATACTACTTTTTAATATATGTCGTTTTGAAAAGTTGCACACAAATAAGAATAGTTTTTTGTCAATAATAACTTCATTTAATGAAGATAGAGATGAATATTTTGAGAAAAAGTGAAGAATGAATATGAAAACACGTAATGTATTTATTGGCTAAATGAGCGTAATAATAGAAAAAATATGTACAAAAGATCTAAAACGACATTTATTTGGCAAATAGTTGAAAAAGCTAAAATGACATTTAAAAAAAATAGGAGGGAGTATAAAATTTAGTCCCAAAAGTAATTTTTTTTGGGTAAGAGCTCACTTCCAATTAAAATATTTCCAGTTGAACTAAAGTAATTACTTGATTGTACCCCAAAAAAAAAAAAAAAAAAATAGTTACTTCAAAATTGGTTGCCAAACTATTCTATATACACAAAAAGTTTACATGTAGATGTATAGTTTATTAATTATTATCAACATTAAGAAGATATATATGGATTGCAATGAACAAAGCCCCATCATATACCCCATTATATTATATAGAAACATTATTAGAGAGAGCTAGGCATGGATTGAGTGACATTGCTATTTTGGGCGATATTGGCTATTTCACTTCACAAATATATTTTATATTCTTTATATTTTTTACAATAAAAATATATATATTGTATTTTTTCTTACCTTAGAGTATATAATTAAACATTTATTTTTTTTTTTTTTTATCATTTATCTATTCACGTATTTTCAATCACATCTCATCGTTTTACTATTTTTTTATTCATTCCGTTTTATTTTATAATTAGTCATACTTTTAAATATATTTATTTATTTTTCGCCAAAGTTTTTTTTTTTTCTTTTTTCTTTTAAGTTAGCAGTTCAATAGTCAGCAGTTCCCACTGTAATTTTTTATTATTCTGTATTTTCGTTTCCCATTTTTCTCAGTGGAGCGTTTTTATATTCAAATAATCTCTCCCACCTTTTCTCTCTGTCACCTTTCTACTCTCTCTCTCTCTCTCTCTCTCTTTCTACTCTCTCTCTCTCTCTCACACACACACTGTGTTCAGTGTTGAGTTCAGTACATTGCAGCTGTAAGCAGAGAGGTAAACGTTGCGTACCGTTGCTCGATCTCTTTCGTCGGAGACTATTTTTCCGGCAAGAAAGTAGCTTTTTTTTTTTTTCTGGTAATTTCCTTTAATTATTTGGTTCTTCTTTTTAAGCTTTGCTCAATAAACTCTGTACTTACAGACTTGTCGAAACAAATTGAGCTTCATGGCTGGTAAATAAAATGGCTCCTTGATTTTATTACTGTAATCTTCTTTAACCAGCTGTGGATCTGCATTTCATTTTATTTTTCTTTCTCTTGTAACAAGCAGTCTGCCATTTTTCTTCTTTAGGAGAGAGTGATGGTGTGAAAAATTGTTATTGTTTGTGTGTATGTTTTTTT